TCATTCCCCTTCCAGTGAAGACAGTAGGATTAACTTTACTTGTTTCAATAATTTTCAGTAACAGAATTTTCCAAGGGCTGATTGCTTGTTGCACATAAAAGTATTTTTCTGAAGTGGTTCAGCTAATCCATTACAGTTGTTTGCCCACTGGATTCAATTATTCATGTGTGAAGAAAACTTTTCCAAAAATGTTGTTAGTATGAAGAGCTCCAGAAGTGTTAATTGAGCTGATTAAAGGTTTTGTCTGTACTATAAACTTCACACTTAACGGAATTAAGGAGCCAAATGTGTTTTCAAGCTTTGCTGGAACTACTGGAAAGAGTCATGGAACAAAAGAAATATATGACACTTTTTGTTAGCTCTTACTCTGCATTAATATTATGAATTATAACAATTTATATATAATCTGTTGCTTTTATGTAAGTACATTAATAAACTATCTGGTCAAGAAACTAGAAACTAGAATACAGCACCATGTATGTTGGCCACCTTTACTGTTACTAGTTCAAACCAGAGGCAAAAATTAATCAGTATATGTACCTAATTTTAGGCATGTTTGAGTGAATCCTTTTTCAGCCAAACATTTTAACACAGATGCACATATTTTGCTGAATAAAAATAGACTTCAACATGTCGTTTCTTAAATATATACTTAAGTAGGTTGCACAACTATGGCCTGAAGATGTTCCTTAGTCTTGTAACCAGAAAACAAGCCAACTTCTTAGTAGGTGAGAGCCTGGAAACCCTGGGAAAATATCAGTTGCATCCATTACCAAATCCATGTCAGTGAATTGGAGATGGAAATTGTATGGCTGATCACACAGATCTCCTCTATGAAACAGAAAGTTCAAAATGTGATTTAGAATTTTATGTTAATAATTCTCCTCTTCTAGTACCCCCTCAAATCACATTTTGAAGGCAAAATGGCACCACAAAGAACAGGAGACCTTTTCTCCAGATGTCTTTCATCAAGCTGGGAAACCTGTAAGACTTGTTCATACAGTTTTTGCACCATTTTATCAGTTTATAAAAATTTACCAGAAAAAAAAAACCAGACTGGTAGAAAGATTGTTTCACTGATAAAATCTTACACAGCTTACTGTAAGTAAGAAAGTGGTACCTGTCTAAGGAAGTGGTAAAAACTCTGGCTGTTCATAACCTGTAATTTACATGTTATGTAATTGGGCAGCAATTGCCATATATTGATAACAACAGAAAAAGATGCATCCCTGACACAAAATCTATACCTGTTTGAAGAAAAGATCAAAATATTTCGCTATGGAGGAAAAAACATCTAATTTTTGTAAAATCCTGCTTCTAGGGAGTCTAAACAGTATTTTTCATTTGCCTGTGGAGTTTATTTCAGACTGAAGCACATAGCTGGCATAAAAGATTTCAGCCAAAATTATTAGGGTTTTGGCAAACTTGCAAACTAACTGAAACATAGTTTTACTTGAAAAGTAATGATGTGCTGTCAGCCTTGCCCATAATTTCAAAGCTGAGACTCTGGCAAGTATTAAAACTTTGACAGCGAAGGCACAAGGATATATGCAACTTTAAAGGTTATTCCCTAAGTAATATATGCAGCATACGAAAATCTGTCCTTGATGCAGAAAAATTACTTTTAAAAGAAATACTAGCATTGCTTCTTGTCAGTGCTGGCAAATCAAGAAAATGGCAACAAAACTCAGTAAGCCTCATACGAGATTGATCTCTAGTGTCCAACTTAGAAATGTAAAGAAGAATTCTCCACAAAGATTGTAAAAACAAAGCTGACACCTTTCGACATGAAAGTCCTGATGTTGCTTTCTAAGGATCTGTTAAAAGTTAAATTACTGTTTCAGCTTTGGACTCAGGCTCCCAGGAGAATGACGCTAACAGATTTTTTTTTTTTTTTTAAATCCCACCGCAACGGGACAAAATAGCAATAAAATCCTGTTATATCTACTACAGTAACCTTGCATAAATATTCTCTGGTATGCTGAGCTGCTCTATGTTAAATGCTCTGTACTGCTATGTCACAGAAGCTCTTCTACATTTTTAGGTCCCTAGCAAGCAAGAAGTAGCAAAGCTCTGGGACTGTAGCCCAGGGTGAAATACTGTAAAGACCTGCTGCATCTCTAGTGCAACTGCCACACCAGCAAAGCAGGTAGGTGCTCCTATATGAATTATGCAGTGTACTAGCCTGAATGCATGCAAAGGTTCAGTACAGAGGAAGCAATAAACACGTACGTAGACAATATAGGGGAAGGCATGTGAAAAGATATTACAACACTGCACAGTTAAAATCTTAAGCTTTTTATTGCATTTTAGATACTATTAGATGTGAAACTGGATGCACTCACTGAGTTTACACTGGAACTGTGCTGCTGAATGACGAGACATTGTTAGCAGCTACAAGGTGACTGACTCATACTGGAAGTTTGAGTGAGAAGACAACTGCTGTGCTTGATTGGCCAAAATACCATATGTTTCTAGAACAGCAGAGACCTACCTCAATCTGTGATTTGCTGTCAAGACCTAGTAATACTGGCCAAAGTGGCTTGCTGATTCAATAACCACAGGCTCTGTTAGTCAGATGAGCTTTTAAAGGGACCATAGGTGACTAACCAAGAGGCCAGTCTGCCTTTTCACCGTCCTTTCCCCGCAGGTACACCAGGGTGTGACAGCAAATGTGCAGTGGCGCCCGCAGCCGGCTCCCTGCCTCCTGCCGCAACACCGCGGAGGCCGTACCCAGGCCCGGGCCTGGGCAGGCCTGGCACTATCTGCTGCGCTATTTCCCGGTTAAACTCATTCCGCACCCGTTTAGGCTGCTTTGAGAGAAGAGGGACCTGATCCCGCCTTTGCAGCTACACTGGGACTCTCAGAACGAGAACCTGTGGGAGATGTGTTTCCCCAGCGAGGGCTTGGCTCATCCGTGCAAAGCGTTTTCCTCGAGAAAAGCACTCAGAAAAAAATGACAGAGTTCTGTGCTTATTTTGCCCCTTATGTGAAAAGTAAAGTTCAAGACAGATTATTATTTTAGGACTGCATAGCAGATCTCTTTGACAGTTACCCTGATATATTAACCTGCAATGCTGGGGTAAGGGAATTGGATACTCATATCTGATGTCAACAGGAGCCAGGCATCTAATTCCTTTAGGCTCTTCTGAAATCCCAGTGTACATTTCTCAACTAATTGAAAACAGATTCTCTTTAACTGCAATTCACAGTGATTTCTTTTTGCTCTGCACAAATACTCTTCTGGGCTTCATCTTATCAGTACATACAAAAATATACTGTTATATGACAATGAGAAGGAAAAAAATGTCCAAGTGCATGTGGAAAAGAGAGTGATAAAATTAGCAGTAAGGAGACACATTTGAAACACTGGCCCAACAAAAAACTGGCATGAAAGTTTAACGTAGGTATGTTATAAAAATTAAGATCTACTTCAGTATGAGAAGATCAAACTTATAAGGAATTGTAGTATCTGTGATGAAGATCATAAACACAAACATTAAATATAATAATATAATAATTCATGTAGGAGATGTGCTGCTTTTCTCCACACTTATTATTTTCACCGGTACTCAAAATCTCAATTAGAAGAGGCTTCAAAGCTAAACTATTTATAAGCTAAATAGTCCTGTGAAGAGCTATTTTGTTATGACATACGAACAGTTTAGCTCATGAGGCACAGACAATATATAAACATTTCATTTCTAAACTGTCCAAAAGCCCAAACTGTATGTTCTTACATTAACTAAAAATACAACATCCTCTTGGCCAAGACTTTCTCTGGTTTGCTAACAACATCCTCTTTTCTACCAGTTTTCCAGATTTCTTCGTAAACATTCAAAAAGTTACCTTTTAAATAAATGAATACACATAGGAACAGCAAAAATGTATTTATTCACTCTTCCTTTACTAAAATGGTTGATTTGTTTTTATTCAGACTTTCAGTCTCTTAGCTCAAAACAAACCTTAAAAACTTCAACAAAGCCAACACACCCCTTCCTTCCAAAATCTTTAGAACCTATGTTCAGTATTATTCATGTTTTTCTGAGATTCTGCTCATATTTAGAAAGTAAGCTTTTTTACTGCAGCTAGTAACTACCTAGGACTGCTTTTTCCCATGTTGTGCATTTCAGTTACTGAGATCTAAAACACAGGTTCCACTCCCTAAATATGACCAACAGCAGCCTCACACAGTCAGTGATATCTAGCAAAAATCAACATGACAGCCGTTAATAATCCTGAGACTACTGCGGAAAGAAAAAAGCTACGGATACCTACAAGAAGGCAAATCAACTGCATTACTGATGAATTACTTCTTCAAAATGGTCGTAGACTGTACAGAGTCCTCAGCACTGGTTGCGGGCAGAGGCCTTAGTGTACCTCCTTCAACTCTCAAGTTTATGAGGAATCAAAATGTGGAATTCTCTCTAATACATACAACCTTCAAAAACCTTATGCTACTTGACTTTCTGTATACATAAATCTCTCCCTCCCCAAAGGTGGTTGGATATTTCCGGATAATACCCACTATCCTTTTGGACGTCTTTCCAAATTTTGCTTTTTCTTATTTAAATGGCAGACGAGAGGGAGTAGGTTATGCTCAGGACACTACCACAAAGTTTCTGTAGTGGTTTGTTTTCCAAAAGGTTTGCTCACTTTTTTTTTTTTTTTTTCTTAAATAACAAAACTAGAACTTGCAATCTTCAAACACCAAAATCATCACAGAAATCAATAAATGCATTCTTTTTTTAATTTAACCCAAAGCATAACTGTTGAAGATAGCTATTCCAATTAAAAGAAGTAAAGTTTATGGTAATATACTTTTGCCAACACAGAAGAGTCATCAAAACTGTGGCGGCACAGTTTTTGATGCTGACACTTTTGCCAGCAAATTATCAGAAAAAGCAAGCTATCCATCTCCACTTGCTGGCCTCAAAACTTTACTTTCTTTCCTCATTATACCCTCAGAGGGTATAGGATTACTTTTTCAAATAAATTACCTGTCCCAGCGATCTCCAGTCTAGGCTGGCACTTCCAATGTACACATGCTGTTTATCAACAATCCAGAAAGATGACTGAAGCCGACCTTCATTATATGCTGACATGTTCATATACAACACTTCAGCACCTAAAGATTTAAGGATAAAATAATAAATAGCATTGTTTAAAATAACATAATTTATGTTATTATAAAAAGAAACAGCTTCACATTTCAGGTCCTCAGCTTCCAAAACCAGTGAGGGATGTAATAAAACATAACATTAAGGTTTAAAATCAATGATAAACAGTGTTACTGTCCTGCTATTTAAGACCTTAATTAACATATATTCCAGAAAAGCAGGTATAGGGAACTTTCTCATTCATTATACTGTTTATTTAATTGTCTTCAATTTTAGAACCAGATAATTGGTATTTTTTTCCCAGCACTGTATGTTCCTAAAAATAGCTTCTTTTTAAAGGTCTATTCTGTAACTCAAACTTGCTACATATTATAATAATGACCTTTGAAAATATGAACCCAATCACAGCCACTTCCTGCAAAAAAGCAGGCTCTGCTTCTTTGCCCTGTGCAACGGTTCACGCAGGGAGCCTGTGGGGGCTGTTGCATGGAACAGACCCCGACATGAGGAACACAGGTGGAGACTTAAGGAGTGAGGAAGTAAGAAAAGATCTGAAGTATGATGAAACAGCTCTCAATCCTGCAAATCTGTGACATTCAACCTTCTGCTTTGCACAGTTTTACTAAGGATTATAGGCCACTGGAATCAAAGGAGCTACTCATAGGTAAAAAAGCATGCTGGCTTCATCACATCAGTAGGAACGTCTGAACTGGCCCCATCACTATGTTTGCAGGACTAAATCCAGAATATATGTAATGTTAGGTGAGCTTAGGGGATTTCTCACATCAGTATTGTTCTGTCAGTGCTCCCGTGTTTGTAAGATTAGGCGATTAATCTGAATTAATCATTGCCGAAGGTAATCTAAAGTAACCCAAACTCCTTTTCACATTTTAGTCATGACAGTAACTGGGGAAGAGAAGTGACAGTGAACAGCAGCCTGCAGGGCAGTAACGGTACCAGCCATCTCCTATTAAATATTCATGGGATCTTCAGTACCATGAATTCCAGTAATGGTTGGATATGAGTCACAACTTCAAAAGAATTCCAGGACACCTAGAGAACTACAATATATTTCTTTTCATCTAACTTCCATTTTCTGACCTCCTAAGAAACACCTGACTCACCATTTTAAGCAACAGTTACCGGTGCTAAATATTTCTTCTTATGAAAACTGTAATTCTCACTTGAACAAATGATTCTAGAAGTTCAGATGTCAAGGAAAGAAGGAAAATGACGTAAGGTACCACTTTTGATGAAGCACCAAACATGCAGCATAGGCTTTCGAGCAAGTTACAGATTTTGGTTTGTCATACAATTACATTTGCTGCAACCCAGTTACCTTTCCAGTTTTTTCTAGGTATCACCCACCCACATTCATCTATGCTTAGAAACAAAGGTATTTTCCAATTTTCCTTGGAATGTGTTGCTGCTGACTTTCAAACCATGTGTTAATGAGCAGAACTGTGCTAATTAATGAGATAATGTGTGTGAAATGGAAAAGAAATCAGAAAACACTGCAGCAGGTGTTAAGTGGTTTAAATTGTTTTCTGATGAATAAACAAAACAAAAGCAACTCTTATCAGCTAAGGAAAATTCTGTAAGGTGCTAAACTTCTAGCTGCTTATCTGGAAACTGCACTTAAAATCAAATTTAACATAGCAGTTTGCCTTGATCATATTTTCTTTCCATACATCAAATTTGCAACATTAAATAGCAGTATGAATTTAACACCCACAACACACCTACATCAAATAGGTTATAAATGAAATGTTAGGATTTTTGTATAGGAAAGGCAAAACAGTCAGAAGCAACAATGAGGTTCCTTCTTGTCACTGAGAGCCTAAAATAAACACAGTTTAAAACATTTTAAAAATATCTAATGCCAAACAAAAATGCCGATCAACAAAGTTACAGCAGGAGACTATTTAACCAGTAATAATAATGTTAAAACCAGCAGACATTGTCAGTAACCTGACACAAAATTCCAAAGTTGTGAACCGCCAGGATTCATGGGCGTGGGCAGTTTAGACATGGGTATAAGCAGTGGGATGGGACTATCACACTCAAATATAATCTAGGCTTCAGGTACCAAAATAGTAAATATAGCTGTGCAGGAGATACTGCTATCACGCATACCATTAAAATCAAAACCTAGAACCCAATTTCTTTTCCTTCTGGAAACAGCTAACTCATAAGGTTGAGGAAACAGTATCTCCAATTTAATTTTAAAAAAGTCATGTGTTGCAAACAGCAGCTGCTGTGCAGACTATTAATGAGCCCTTAACTTTCGATGAAAGGAAACATGCATCAGTATTGATAATTGCCTCTGTTCCAGAAGCCCTTGAGATGTTTTGTTAAAATCAGCTTATCAGGCCTTTAACACAATCCATCATCCCTAGCGTGGTCCAGGTCCCATGAGGAAATGAAATTGGACTGATCAATATGTGAAGCCCTAACAGAACTCTTTATCATGCTGCAGTCTCAATTACACAAAGCTGTGGGTCTACTGAGTTCAACCAGAAGACACAATTTGTAGGCTTGATTGCTAATACAGATGGCAGATTCTTAAAAAATAAATCTAACATTATTGTTTTACTGAAGATTAAACTGCAGGATGAGATCTTAGAGAAAACCAGTGCTGTCACTTAAAACTCAAGTAGATTTGCCTGTCCCATAAAATCGTGCATTCTAAAAGTCGGGCCAGATTGCTCTCTTTCTGAAGGAAAAAAGGACTGCTTTAAGTAACAGATATTATTCTGAGTACTTTTTCTTCTAGGTGGGGAGGTTTTGCTCTGTATAAGGGAGATGACTGATGCAGTCTGGGATGCACAGAGGGGATCTTGACATTGAAAACCTGGACCTTCTCCACGTGATGGGAACACAGCCCCTGGGAGGTGCCAGGCTGCCACTTAGTTTCTTGCATTGTCTCATAATGGAGGAAATAAACAGAAGACATTGCTAGTATTGCAAAAAGACGGACTTTTCACCCATTTCCAAAATAAATCCAATTCCCAAAATAATCCCAAAGAGAGAGTATGGCACAAGCAAGTGCCATTTACCATTTCTAGCTTTGCAACACCCTGTTCAAGCTGCCTGCTCTGATACTCCACTAACGATGTCGTGAAAGCTCCAGGGCAAGCTTGACTTCAAGAACATGATTTTAAGGCTAGGACCTTTTCTATATATTTGAATCAAAACACTAAGTTGCTAGCAGGTGTGGAATAATTACTAAAATGACCAAAATACAGCATTGTTCACACATAAAGGAAAGGTATAAAATCAAAAGGTGTCAAGGGTAAGATGCAGCTGCAGCCAGTATGAGAAGAATCCACCACACCATCTGCGATTCCCGGGACAATACTGCTTGCAAAGCACCACGGGGGGCGAGTGGGCTGGGGAGCTCACGGCCTCTCCCTGTGATGGTACAGCAGGTATGGGAACGAGGTGGTACCACAGAACTGATAAGCTGCACCCTGGCCACCCTGAGCCAACATCCTGTTGGATTTGGATGAAATGCTGTCCTTTGTGCAAACTTTGCTCATTATAATGTCATTAAAATACCAAAACACACCTCCATCCCAAAGGCTACCTGCCTCCAAGGTGTGACCACTCCTCTTTGAGTCTGCGCCCTGAGTTTTTGTAATCGATGCCTTTAAATGTGAGGCGAGAGAATTTTACAGCAATCATAATCAAGGTATTTATGACTAGAGTCACTCAAACTCCACCTTGAAGGTGAAAAATAGTATAAAAATAGCCCGGGGAAGAGGGGAAGGTGGGGGAAGACACCATCTTAAGAACTTCTGGAACCAGTCAATGGGCTGAGCCTCTCTTTCCCTCCCCATAGGGATGCCTTCTGATAAGACTTAAAAACTTAGAAATCTTTCTAGAAATTCTCTTTTCCATTTTTATAGCCTGGCTGTACTGTTATAACTTTGTTGCACGCTTTATATATACTCTTATTTGCACGTGCTTTGCAGACAGTGTATTTATCACTGGCAATCATAAGTACCTCTATATCTGTCACTTAAATAAACTGCACTGTTTAAGTAGCCAGTCGTTTCAATTTCTCACTGAACATGACCAAAGAGTGGCCGTGCTAGTTCATGAGCACGACTAGACTGAAGGTGCAGTCCACTATTAGTGTATCCGAATCGTAACAGTTTAATATATTGAACTCGATTGGGCTGATAGAGGTGAATTGGTTATCATTTGGATTTTTTGCCTTAACGATTTCACGTGACAGCAGGAGACTTCAATCAAGAGCCCATCACATACGTGCTCTATCATGAAAGCCTGTCTGTCACTGAGAAGGGCACCTTGGTGCACTGGTGTTGCAGCATATGCTAGCTGTGGATTTTACTGCCGCTCAAGAAAGGTCACCAGGCAGCTACACAAACTGGGAGACTCTTCTTCGTGGGAGAGTGCAGGAGGCCGGGGCTTACAGGGCTGCTACTGGGCCTCCAGATCCAGGTTTATGCAATGATTTGGAGAAGGTGCACCAGGAGGCTTGGGATCCAATACCTGTGAGCAATCTAGGATATTAGCAGGTTGTCCCGGTACAGAGGCAACATCACTGAGCCAAATCACCTCTCTGGTGGATATGGTAAATACTTTTTGTAAAGAAGACCCAGAAAGAGCAACTGTTTAGGCTGCTATTATCACAGCTGCCTTGAAAGCAAGCATGCAAATTCTGCCTGCAACAGTTTTCAACAGCACCAGTTCCAGGCTAAACTCACTCTGGAGTTAGCAAACATAACGCCCAAGAAACAGAAGCTGCATTTGCTTGTACCACGGCTAAAATTGGCCTTCTGTCTTCACAACTTTCTTACTTTCATTATAGTGTTTCCAAAACCAGAGAGAAAGAAAAATGGGAAAGGGGAAGGACTTAGGGATTGAGAGGAGAGCCAGACAGAGGTCTCTGGAAAGTTACAGCAACAGTGACGAGTGATTCACAACAGGAAGAGCAAGAGTGAAAAAAGCACCAAGAGCCCTGACCTCGTTAGCCCCG